ATAGTAGGGATATAAGAAAAAAATCACTTTTGTATAAAAAAAAAAGATAGAGATAATATGCGACTGAAATTTTTTTTCAATATATTACTTATAGCTAAAAAATTTGAAGAGAAAAGAATTAAAGAGAATTTTAAATTTAAAAAAAAATTATAACGTAAAACTACACAACAAAAAAAAAGATAATCTCTCCGTGCACGGAGACATTAGTCTCCATGCACGAAAGAAAAAATAATAATAATAAATTTTGGAAGACTCCCTGCACGGAGACCATGATTTTTTTTTATTATGTTTTTGTGTTCATTTTCGGGCTTATTACGGGATATCAAACGAAGTCAAAATATTACATTCTTAATATCTTTTTGAAGTACTCGCGGCATGGTATTGCATGTTGTTGACAGTGCGTGAAACGGGCAATCGTAGCAAATGTTATGGGACGTCAAAGTAGGCATTTTCAAATTATATTTCGAAATTTTCGATAACAAGCTAACTTTAAAAATTTATCGATGATTATACGATAGTCGAATCGATAAACGTTTTACATTCTCTTGAAACTCATTTTGAGAATTATATTATAGAGATATCGAATGATCTAAATAGATATCGAAAATAGTTAAACGGACATTAAACGTATGTATTAAAAAATATGCATAAGTCGTTTTTCTTAAAAAAATCAATTATTTTATTACTATTTCGAAATTTTCGATAACAAGCTAATTTTAAAAATTCGTCGACGATTGTATGATAGTCGAATTGATAAATGTTTTATATTCTCTCGAAACTCATTTTGAGAACTATATCGTAAAGATATCAGATGATCTAAATAAATATCGAAAATAGTTAAACGAAAATTAAACGTATGTGTTAAAAAATGCGTATACGTCGTTTTTTCTAAAAAAATCAATTATTTTATTACTATTTATTCTTTTTTTGCAACAATTTTCTCAATGCATTATTTTGCTCAAAAAAATTTATATGGTATGACGGAAATTTTTTTCTCCATGCACGGAGTGAATATGCTTTTTTTCCATCTTTTTATATATTGAATTATTACAAGAAAATTAAATTTTATCTCAAATTATTAAAAAATATTGATTGATAATAAAAAATTTGAAGAAAAAATTAAAAAAGAATTCTAAATTGAAAAAACTATTATTTATAACGTAAAACTATACAGAAAAAAATTTCTCAAATCTAAGTTTCTGTTTGAAATTATTAAGAAAAAAGAATTTTAAATTGAAAAAAAAATTTATAATGTAAAAAACACAAATATTTAAAAAAAATAGTTAAACGGACATTAAACGTATGTGTTAAAAAATACGCATAAGTCTTTTTTTCTTAAAAGAATCAATTATTTTATTACTATTTCGAAATTTTCGATAACAAGCTAACTTTAAAAATTCGTCGACGATTGCACGATAGTCGAATTGATAAATATTTTACATTTTCTCGAAACTCATTTTGAGAACTATATCGTAGAGACATCGAATAATCTAAATAAATATTGAAAATAGTTAAACGAAAATTAAACGTATGTGTTAACAAATACGTTTTCTTCTTTAAAAAATCAATTATTTTCTCTTCCAAATAAAACTTAATTTTTCAAAAATCACTTTTAGTAAAAAAAAAAAATTTAAAATAAACATATTAACAAAAAATATTTCTAATATATGTAAAAATTACTTATATAAGTAAAAAGATTTGTTTAAAATTATTTAGAAGTAAAAAATAAAATAAAGTTATGAAAATTAAATGAAGAATATATAAATATTATTTAATTAAAATTGAAAATTTTGCTTTATAAATAATTCATTTTTTTATCAATTTATTTAAATTTCTTTTTAATTCTTTTCCCTTTCGAATAAATTTTATTTAAATTTTTTTTTTCAAATTTTTTTGCCCTACCAACTTTGGAGTGACTGTTGTATCATCCAAAGAATAAGCCTGCTATTAGGGTTCTAATTCTTACACCAACAGGGGAGTTGACCATCCAGTAAGTGTCACTTCAGGTTATTTTACGTGCGAACCTGAGTTTGTTATTTAAATATTTGTGTATGTGGATATTCTCTTTTAATTTACAATTGCATGTATTATTTTTGAACTACAAGTATAGCCTTTCGAATCGATGTTACTTAAGAAAAGCATTTTACAAAATTCAATTTACAAATTATTTGCAATATCAGATAAAAGAAATATCTTCATCTACATTAAAAAAAAAATACAATAAATAATTGAAAATAAATTATCGTTGACATATATACAATCACAACATTCATTATACTTATTTATAAGAATAAAAATAAATTATCGTGACATAAAATATACAGTCGACCAAAAGATGAGAATCAAACAAACATTTCTTATTTCCAAATACTTTTTGTACAATCTATAAATTTTATGCTAATAAAATCAAAATAAATATAAAATTCGTGCAACGCACGAGACGCAAACTAGTATATATATATATATATATATATATAAACAAAAAATTGATTTACTTTACTAAATAATCAAATTTTATAAAATAAAATGTCATAAAACAAGGTCTCAAAATTTCAAGCAAAATGCATTCTCATGTTTTATGTTTTGAAGAACAATTTTTCAGAATAATAAACCAGAAAATAAAATGAGATCAATGTTTAAAACTGAAATCTAAGACATAAACATAATGGGCCCTAAGTTTTCATGGTCATGCAAAATATTTCAAATTTTATACTTGATGGGTTGATTATAGTAAAATACAATTTGTGATATGATCTATACATATCGCTCACGATCGATACATAAAGTAGGACACTTTGTGATAATAAAATTGTATTATTCTTATTGGTATTTATCTAGACCCTAAAATGGGAACACTGATGTTCCTCGTGGGCAATTTAATATGAGCTCACTAGTCCGATGATGAAATGATTGACTTCCATGTTGTGATTTGTTCAAGATGAATTTTATGCCTTGTAAAAAACGGGACTTGAATGAATATATTTAAAGGGCAAAATGATCATTTTGGCAGCTCCAATATATGAGAGTCAAAGGAGGTTGACTTGCGACATAATGATCATATGATATTATAATTAGATCACGACTTATTTTAATAATTATCACTTGATTCGAGAGTGCAATTTCAATTTCTTAGTGGAATGAATTGAAATAAATTAAAATGAATCTCAACTGGTCAAGAATTGAACAATTTTGGAAATATCATCCATTGGAGTCCAGGTCTTGTAATTTTGTTTTAGTCCCTCTCTTGACTCCAAAATAGATGTAGAACTTAATTGATCTAATGAAATAGGTTCAAGGATGATTGAGAAAATTAAATGTTGCGATAATTATTGAGACATAAAGATGTCACTTAAGGATACATTTTCCTAATGATCTAGAATTTTGCTCGTATCATATTTCCCCTAAACAGACATGTAAAAGGAGAAGAGAGAAGGCTAACGCGGCATGAAAGCTAGCTTATTGATATAGATAGCCACTTAACACCATGCTTTAAGGGTATAATCCTTACCTATTATTTGTATATTCAAGCTTTTAATCCAATTAACTTTTTGGAGTTCTAAGATTCTTTCTTATCATGTCAATTGGGTATTTACTCGACATGAAGTCTCTAATATCAATTGAAAAATTGAGAGAACGTTCACTTGAATCTTGATTTCAAATGCCTCAACTGAACAAGAATTTTTACTCTCCTCTTTATGGTCACTCATACATGCTGTATGTGGTCATTCACAAGGTCTTCTGCATTTATTTATCCAATAAAACCCACCAATAAAGTTTTAAAAATAAAAGCTAGCAAATGATTGTTCAAATACCAAAAAGCTTAACTATACTAATGAATAATGATTGTAGTTATTATGAAAATTGTTCAGTAGTGATTATGAGAATTGATTTTTGGACCGTTACAGAGAAAAATGAATTCCATCTATGAGAGAAAAAGTCAAAAATAACGACTGAATGGTGAAATAACGGCCAAAAAATTGATTTTTTGGTGTGAAAAATCAATTCCAAATATCCGCTTAATTATTGTAAATCCCATCTTGTTTACAATTATATTCTGTCTGCATAACCATTCCCTTGGCAACAAAAGTCCTCCACTTTTCCATTTTACTGTTACTTATCATAATTAACTGACACGCTCCATCATTTAAAAAATTTCTTTAGATCTTTATACAACTTTGGACTCATAACTTTGGACTCTATCAATGATAAATTTGTTAATAGAAATAAGGTATATATGTAATACTGTAATATATTCCTTATTGTATAGCTTAATATGTGACAGAAAAAAAAACATATAAAACATCAACTTTTATATTCCCTTATGTATAGCACATATGTGTGTGTGTATAATGTTATTCAATCAAAACTTTTATCAAAACTTTGGCAATCAATCCCTTTACTTCTATTTAAATAATTTTATTCAACTTTGCTAGTGCTTAGCACAGCCTAAATTTCAATTAATTGATTGGACATTTTAACTTTTAAATATAAATTATATTTGTAAATCATTTAACGATACTTAGAGCTTGTTTGGGAGTGATTTTTATCCCCAAAAATTAATTTTTTGACTGTTATTTCACCATTTCAATCGTAAAGTTTGACTTCTTTTCTCACAAGTGACCCCCATTTTTATCATAACGGTCACAAAATCAATTCTCAAAATCACTATCAAACGGGGCCTTAATAGACAACTAGAATGTTTTGAATAGCATTTCTCTTTCTATTTAACCCACATTCAATGTAGAGAAAAAAAATCCTCCTTGATTATATACAATTAAATGAATTGTATGAATCATTTAACTTTATAGTCTAAATTGATATTATAGCGCCATTAATTCTAGAAAGCAATTATATTCAACAAATCTAATGACTTTATGGTTCTTGAAAATCAAGTCAACACGGTACATCTGTAACCGTCACCGCAACGTGCATCGATCAAATTTGAATAAAAGGTAAGCAAATAGCAAAAGCGTTTTCTTTAACAAAAAGAGTTTGAAACTGATCTCTTGGATCTGCACAAATAAAGCTTCTGTCACTAAACAAGAATTCCTAAATTTTATACATAACATCAATACAAATACTTTCTTGGCAAAGGTTGTCTTTTAACTTTTAGGGGTATGTGTGTTTGTTTTTACTCTAAATCATGTAATGTTTGTTGATCAGATTTTGAAGGAGAGATGGAGCCTCAAAAACAAGATGAGAATGCTCAAGATGAGTTGAGAGGGGAAGAAAAACTGGATTCTTCAATGCTTAGCTTCAAAACCCTTGTTTGGCATGGAGGATCTGTTTATGATGCTTGGTTCAGTTGTGCATCAAATCAGGTAATTAGCCTAAAAATTAATGTTGTTGTTAAGTTGTCCTCAAATTCAATAGAAAGATTGGTTCTTCTTTTAGCTAACATGGGCTTTGGTGGTTTGAGAATGATGAAGATTTGGATTGTGGATGTAGGTGGCACAGGTTCTTTTAACTTTGCCATACTCATTCTCTCAACTGGGAATGCTTTCAGGAGTAATTTTTCAAGTTTTCTATGGTGTATTAGGAAGTTGGACTGCTTATCTCATTAGTGTCCTCTATATTGAGTACAGAACCAGAAAAGAGAAAGAGAATGTCAACTTCAACAACCATATCATACAGGTTTATTTATTTAGCCATCTAATTTGACCTGTTTGGTACGTTAGACTCGACTCCACTAAACTCCACTTATTCATCGGACTTCCTACTTAATTATTATATGCAGTGGTTTGAGGTGTTGGATGGCTTGTTGGGTTCCTACTGGAAAGCAGTGGGATTAGCCTTCAATTGTACTTTTCTTTTGTTTGGCACTGTGATCCAACTTATAGCTTGTGCAAGGTCTTGATTATAATTTTTTTTTTCGAATAATGCTATTCATAGTTAGCGACTGCAATAGTCATTGATGGCTTGTTATTTCAAACATTAATTTTTTGATGCATCAAATATCAAGTTGTCAGACTATTGCAATCGCTGACTACGAATAAATTATTCTTTTATTTGCTTATTGCGATTAATGATAAATTAATCAGAATTATGATTTGCAGTAACATATACTACATTAATGATCGGTTGGACAAGAGAACTTGGACGTACATATTCGGGGCTTGTTGTGCAACTACAGTGTTTATACCGTCGTATCACAACTATAGAATATGGTCCTTTCTGGGACTAGGAATGACGACCTACACCGCTTGGTACTTAACCATCGCATCCCTTGTTCATGGCCAGGTAATGACACAACTGAGACAATATTCTCGGCTAATGCGAGTCACTTCTATTTGAAAAAGAGTTTAATCGACAAGTTTTCACATTAAAATGGTATATCGACAATCTAATTTCTTTACCATATTTTTAGGTGGAAGGAGTAACTCACTCTGGACCAAAGAAACTGGTACTCTATTTTACTGGAGCCACCAACATACTTTACACTTTCGGCGGACATGCCATCACCGTGTGAGTATTTTTATTTCATAGAGGAAAAATAATATAAAATCATTGCAATTATCTGAGGGGATTTTTCATCTCAAAAACAGTGTGGGGTCTAAATTCCTCTCCTTTTAAGACGTACATTGGTAATAATTTTAGTGCTCTCACTATGTATAGAGTATTCAGTACTCGTCAATATTTAGCCCTTGTTTGAGCTCTATTCTCGTCAAAAAAAATATATTTTTGAATAGTATATTGATGGAAAATGTGTGGTTAAAAAATAAAAAAAAATTTAAATTTGCGTGAAATATTATTTTAATGAAGAATTTGTTGTTGAAATGAGTCAAATCACTTTAAAGAATGTATTTTGATGGAAATAATAGAGCTCAAACAAGAGCTTAATGAATAATGTTTGATGTACACTTGCATGACATTCCTCCTATGTGGGGAGCATCTGTGCATTGATTGATAAAAGTGGGAAAAAATCAATGGTATAAATAATGTCACACGAAAGAGTATAAATCATAGTGTAATTCTACAATGTACGTATAGCAGTTTTGATATTTAATAGACTTGTGTATTGAAAAATTAGAATTCACTATTTAACTAGGACCTCGACGTATATATGTCAATTAAATAATGTAAAAATTATTGAGTTCCAAACTCCACAATTATTAGAATTTTACTCATGCTACCTACTTCTCGTAAAAATAGGTTTGTTTTCCTCTTTTTTGTTTGTCCCAAATTATATGTCACTTTCCTTGTTGAGAATATAATTAGTATCTTCATTTTCTAATATACCTTTATTTAATATGCACTGTTATCAACAAATATGAAGTATGAATTACTATTATACGATGTAGGGGTATATTAGGAAAAATAGATGTAAAATTTATAGTTCCAATATAAATTAATTAAGTTTTCTCAATCTGTATGAAAATAGAAATAAGTCTATCTTTATAGATTAGAGGTAGTAATTTAGATTTTAGAGTATGTTGGTTTTTGTGTCAAACGTCAAAACACAATATTTTTTCAACCAAACCTACATTATTCTTAACGAGTAATGCTATTCATCACTAATTTAGGTGATAATTACATAGCATTAAATGGTAGATGCATTTAAACGCAATGTCACGCGACTCATTTAATTGAACCTATAGTTTGTAGCTACCTAAACCCGTGCTTAGCACTACTGGTAATAGATAATATTATTCTTTAACATATATAGCTTTAATTTCAATTGCATTAACGGGCATTAATTAATTTGTGCAGGGAAATTATGCATGCAATGTGGAGACCTAAAAAATTCAAGTACATATACCTGATTGCAACCTTGTATGTCTTCACTCTTACAATTCCATCAGCCGCTGCCGTTTACTGGGCCTTTGGCGATCAACTCCTTACACATGCCAATGCCTTTTCGCTTCTTCCGCGAACTGGTTTTCGTGATGCTGCTGTCATTCTTATGCTCATCCACCAGGTCTTAAAATGGTCTAAATTACATTTATTCAATAAAGTATGTGAATTTACTTGACAGGTTTTCGAATTTGGGTGCAGTTTATAACATTTGGATTTGCTTGCACTCCTTTGTACTTTGTGTGGGAGAAAGCAATTGGCGTGCATGAGACTAAGAGCATATGCTTAAGAGCACTAGCTAGGCTACCAGTGGTTATACCTGTATGGTTCTTGGCCATTATTTTTCCCTTCTTCGGGCCCATTAATTCTGCTGTTGGGGCATTTTTGGTTACCTTTACAGTTTATATCATCCCTTCTCTTGCACATATGCTCACCTACCGCAAGGCATCGGCCCGAGAGGTAATTAGTTCAATCTTTCTCTTCTCCTCTCTATCTTTGTTCAATCATACTACATGGTTAGAGTCAATGACTGAAAATTATTTTCAGACAACACCTGACAATTTTAGTTGAAAATTGGGAAGAAAAATACATAAAAACACTCAATCATAAACTGCAAACTCACCCATTTTTTCCCCGTTTCTTCAACATTATTCGTCTTTGTTATGGGTGTGAATCTAGGTGTGGCCTGGCCTAGAGCGAGAAGGATCTCAGCTGTTTAAAGACAACTCACATTGGCATATAATTTTTATATTAATATTTCTTTAGAGAAAATTAAAACAAATCTTGAGCCAAGAACTCCACCCTCTAGTTCTGCTTTCATGAACTCCTTGAGCTCTTCGAGGATGAAAGAATAAACATCATGGATTTGACCATCCAGGATGGAACGAGATTAGTTCTCTTAGCCATGGTTTCATCCAATGAAAAGTAACGTACTAATCTAACTCACTTTACACCAAGGTTCGTTGTCACTTATTGCAAAAAACAAATCTTGAGCCAAGAACTCCAATAGTGTCATACTCATCCAACTCACTTTACATGAAACTTCATTGCCACTTATTGCTATAAATACAGATTCTTTAAACCCTTTATAATTCGTTTATAAATAGTCAAACTACATTTTATCCATATATGTCTTATGATCTACAAATAGTTACCACCCAGTTCTATCTAATAGATTGTTTATAAACAACTCCCAAAATTTTAACTAATTTGCCTTGTTCACTCGAATCTAACATCGGTCACAAGGACATAGATAGCATTAAAAAAAATGCAGATCGTACTCACCAAACTATCAAGTCCCGACTAGTAATACCATCACACTAAGTATGTTACCATGTGTATTATGCACCGCTATTTACTCAAATAATCTTGTATGTATATGCAGAATGCAGCAGAGAAGCCTCCATTCTTCCTCCCCAGCTGGACAGGCGTGTACATGATGAATATTTTTGTGGTGGCATGGGTTTTTGTTGTTGGATTTGGATTTGGAGGGTGGGCAAGCATGACCAATTTCATTAAACAAGTTGATACATTTGGTCTCTTTGCCAAATGTTATCAGTGCAACCCCAAAACTCCACCACATAACTAATGACAAAATTTATCACTGTGCCTTAGTATAACTATTATGGGGTAGGATAGGCTGGGCTGGGCTGGGCTGCGCTGAAGGGATCCAGCAATGTCCCAATTGTATCTACTCTTTCTGCTTAGGAAAAATATGTTAGTATAAAATTACCATATATCCATAGTAATACGTGGAAATGATTTGATTTCTAAGACTTAAAGCAATAATACGGCACTATCACTAAAATTGATATTTAGTGACAATTTATACATGGAAAATTTCATATCCAAGAAGTTAACTATAATCTATATCAAAATTAAGAAACAAGTTTTAAATTTTCAAAAATCAGATATTATTAAATTTTATTTATGAAATAATAATTAAATATATTAAAGTCACAATTCTATACAATATGATCACAAATTATTAAATTAATTTATCACAAATTCTTTTTCGATCACAAATAAAAAATTGTATAAGTTACAAATCAAAAATTTTATAAGTCACAATTTATTTATTGTTCATAAATTATCAAATTAATAGGTCATATACTAGTTTTCGGCCACGAATCACAAATTACATTACAAATTATCAAATAATCAGTCAAACTATTTCTCAATCATAAATTATTAAATTAATTGGTCATAACTTAACAAATTGTAAGTCATGATTATAAATTGTTGAAATCTCATATTTTTTAGGTTACATATTATTTATTGGTTTCAAATTATCTATTTCATTAATCACAATCAACTAAATTGGTCAAAAACACTTTTCTTTTCACCCCCACCCCATCCCTAAAGGCCACAACCACCGCACCACCACCACCACCACCACCACTGCCACCGCCACAAACTACTAAAGAAACCAACAAAACCCAGCCCAAAAAACAACTAGTGCCGCCAACATTACCACCACCTCAATACCACCATAGCTTGCATCATCACCAACTGCACACAACCAACAAATTCCATCCCAACAAATAATCTTCATCGCCAACATCACCACTATCTCATGAGCACTGTCAACACAACAACCACTATCAGAGCCACCGCCACTGCCACAACAGCCAACTGCAAAAAACCAATAAAACTCACTCCAATTTTTTCGGCACCAAACTGTGACCAAAAAAACTCACAAAACTAACAAAACTCTTGCACGAGATTGCAACCAAGTTTTTTTCCTAGATCCCCTATCATTCCTCGCTCACAGTGACGATGTCACTGAGATTGTTGCATAGCAAGCACTGTTGCAACAGCTCCATTTACGTTGCACTGCAACGGCAATGTCTCCCTGCAACACGATTTGTCCTCATAGCGGAGACAACTGCGATGGTCTCCGACAAGAGTTTTCAGTAGTTGGAATAAAGAAATGGAAGGGAGAAGGAAGATTTTGGAGAGGGAAAGGAGACAAGGTAGGGGATACACGATATTTAAGATTTTAACTATTTTTTTCTTTTAAATATTTCAATAAATTACAATCTCTTATATCAAACATCCCACAAATGTTTTCATAGTGAGCGGATTCACCACACAAAACAACCTTTGCATTAATACATTTGAATTATCGAGATTTTGGGCCAATATGTTTTAGGGCGTGAAGGGACAAAAAGCTCTTTATCTTTGAGTGTGCATCTAAAAGGTTAATCTATGTTATCTTGGGCGCTAAAAGTTATTATAAAATTAAATTCGAGAGCAAGACTTTTTGATAAATGTTGACCCTAGAAAATGGTCGACAAGTGTTGATACAAGATAATATACACATGGACGTGTATCTTATTCCCTTCACTGTATTTTTTTAAGATCTTTCAATTGATACAAGAATTCCCTATTTATAGTGATCAGGTCGACGTGATCACCGTAGAATTGGATCCCGTAGCTTGTCTGTCGACCCTAACTATTACATCAATTATGTCATCTATTAATTACATTAATAGACATTTGACAAGAGGTCAGCCACTTTATAAGTTAGGCTGACATTCCTGATGCTTATTAACTACGCATGTCACATTAGTCAACTTTGGATACGCGCTTGTCCGACCCTCTTTTGTTTGTCAAGGATTTCAGATAGTAGAGTGGTTCGACGGTAGAAGGCAAACCACCTCAGATCAACTTAGTGCAACGACCTCGGCCCTTCCTTTGACAGCTTCGAACTTTAGTCCCTTCTACATCAATTCTTGGGTGCTCGCCATGTGTATGCATGTGAGTCTCCACGTAGACCTTTCTATATTGACTAGTATCAATAGTTCCCCCAAGTCTATATATGATTATTTATGTTGTACATAGAATTTGTAATTAATTTCAAAGTTTTTAAGAAAAATTCCAAAAAAATAAATTCATGATGGATATCAGTCCCCCAAATCTAATTTACTAACATTGATGTGGGAATTAGAATTTGTGAAAGAGTGGTGACGTTGAATTTTGAGCTTATAGTCCCTCAGTTCGGTTCGGGGCTTTCGAGGGAGATCAACTGAGGTGCTTTCGTAGCAGAACCAAAGTGCTTTAAAATGTAGGTCGAGGTACCTTTGTGCTATAGTGTTGTCGAGGTTGCAAGTGTCACATAGAGGGGTTGGATAAGGTCAGCATGGGAATATGTTAATGGTCTTTTGTGCTGTAATGATTAGTTGTCTTTGTTGTGCATCTGAAATTGTGATGCTTGAGACGGTTTGGGTAGTTAGACCGTCTTTTATCATTTATTGACACAAGTTGCTATGTTGACGTTTAGTCTTCCCCAGGAAGGTGGTGCCCTCAATTTTCAAGGCATTGTCATGTGTTTCAATCGAGGCCCTAAAGCTTAAGCGTCGATTTTATTTTGTGGCTTATAAGTGCCCCGAATTTGGACAGTCCAGATTCTTAAGATCTGACGGTCGAAAACTCATGTGTTTGCCTATAAAAAGGCTCATTCTTGCTTGAACATTGATTTACTGGTGTGAATTACTCTGTGATGTTTCTTTGCAATATGACAAAAAATCGTATTTATGCTTGGTAGATCTTGAGAGGAGTTGGTGCAAGGGTTTGCTTGGTTTTGGGTAATGCCATGAAGAGTGCAAGTTGGATGTTTCTTGGGTGCAATGGATGGGATGCTTGGATTTGTGAAAATGAAAAATGTAAATATAACCTCAGCACAATCTTCTTTGAATGCCCTATGCGGAGGGTCACCCATTGCCTTGTATTATGTTGCAATAGGGTGCGACTTGGGCCAACTTTGAGCCTACCTTCGCAGCAGGTCGATGAACTCGTCCTCCCCTGAGCAATTAGGCTACCTCATTTGCTAGTATGAACTAGGCAGAGTGTATTGTAGCTGAAACCTTGAGTTTCAACATAGTCTCGCAGGTCTTGCAAATGTGAAGGTCGCAGCATATAGTGGACATTCTTAAGGAGAAGAGGTTCGGCGATTTATATACAGTGGCTACACTTTATCATCATTTATTTTTTATTTTTACCATCCATTCTCTTTTTATGCTATGTAATGCTTTGAAAATGGCTTTGATTGCCCTTAATTGTAATGTTTCGTAGTGATGAATAAAATTTTACCTTTTATGCGAATGTGTTTGGACTTCAAATTATCACTGCTTCGTATTTGGGGTCGTTTTTTAGAAGGGGGTCGTGCCCTTGCGGTAGGCTCTATTTTCTTATCCTTTTGTAGGTAACTTTTGTGCCTTCACGAGGGTCAATTTTGTAGGATCCGATCCTTTGAGTTATTCTGCACTTAGGGCGATTTTTTATATCTGAGGAGGATATCTTCATGCGCCCACTTCTTTTATCGAGGTGCCCTTTCTTAGGCTAAGCCTTGCAGATGCTTTTTAGCTCATATTCTGAAGTGTCTCTATGGGACGATGCCCTTTGGGCTATGCTTTTTCCTGTTCCTTCAAAAGAACTACCTTAGAAAGTACTATGCACTTTGCTGAGGTCTTCGGTAGTCTCTTCTTCATGGAGTGGATCATGTCATGTTTGATGTTCGAGTACAGTGTGAATCGACATGCACGATAAAAAGATTGATGTGATGGGTCGTAAAATATGCTAGCTGTAATTGTTATATACAAGCAATGTAATAATTTCAAATTTAACAGTAGATGTTAAAACAATGAGGTTCTAGAAATAAGACATAACTTGATGCAAATTTTCACAAGTTTTTACAGAAGATGTTGCTCGAGGTCCTTGGGGGAAATGAGGCTATGTGCCGACGTTGCCCTCTTTGAATACATTATGAAGGAAACTGAGGTCCTTATTCTCCGCAGTTCTCAGATCTTTGTGCATATCTTTTTGGTTTTTACTTGATTAACTGCATAGTCTTCCTTTTCAGCATATTTTGGGAGTAGCTCCATGTGGGGTCTTTCTTTTTCTGCATTTGGTGACTCGACTGAGGTGGTTTCATCTTCACCTCTTCTTTGAACACGCTTATTTTGCATAGCTCGTTGTGGGGTTATGTATACAGGGTTGAGGTACGACTTCTGACCCATTCCGACTTTCTTATTCGGATGGGACCGGAGTTTTAGCTTTGAGATGAAGGGATCAGCCTTCATCTTTTGTGCACAAGCTTCCTTAGGCAATATAATTCTGTGAGGCTTATGGCTGAGCTGCTTTAACTGGAGAGGACGACAAATCTTACTTTCCAGCGACTGCTGTCGATGGGTCAACTTCTGCTGGCCGATGTCGATAGGGCCTGCCCTGGCAATTATATACCTTAGCGCCTCTTTCTACAAGAGGAGCTAATTTGGGGCGGCCAAATTGACGCTCATTTTTTTGGACAAGACCTTCTGCCTTTCTCATTAAAATGGTGGTTATGACGTCTGTCTCCTATCTCTATCTCTTGGATGGGATGGGAAAGACAGCGTATTACTTTTCTGTGAGGTTTGTGTCCTTAGTTCACCGACCTCCTGGGAAGGTTGGCTGGGGTTGTGAAGTTCGGCTTGGTAGTTATATGTCTTAGCACTTTTTTCTGTACGAGAGCTTCTCTGGGCCTTGAGCTTTTTCCTCTTGCGTGATCAGTTTTGATAGATCCGCATCTGAGCTAATGCAGCTCGTCTTTCCCGCCTAGATAAGTCCACATCCGAGCTAATGTAGCTCGTCTTTCCCACCTATTTCTAGGCAAGGAATACATTATCTAAAAGCGAGCTCATCTGCGGTTCTTGGCTGAGGTTGTCCACGCTGATTTTCCTCCGAAAAGGAATTGAACATATGTGGTCTATTAGAGGAAATAGGAGGGCACCCGATTTGAGCGGGTGGAA